ACGGCCGACGGCGGGCAAATGCAGCCGAGAGTGACGCCAGGTCCGGCCCTCCGGGATGGCGCATCCAGCTCTGCCTGCATGGATCGGGCTGCACCCGGGACCCCCTGGCACAGCACCGGCAGCTCTGCAAGCCCCCATGGGTAAAGGGGGACAGTCCCCCCTTGTGCTGCCGGCCCAGGGCCCAGGCACAGCTGAGCTTCAGCCCCGCGGGTCTGCTGATGGCAGCACACATGGAAGCTGCTGCCCGGGGCTGTAAGGACATTCCCAGGTGCCGGCAGACAGCCCGTCCCCGCTCCTCCTCCCCGTACGTGGCCCATCGCCCGCGAGGACCCAAAGGGCCTCGAGACTGCCCCTTGCTGATGGAGACACATGTCTCTCTCCTGAGCACGACACCCCTGCAGCTCGGGGCAGGAGGAGCTCAGCATCGCTGGCTGTAATCACCCAAAGGATAATCCGGGCAGGACGCCGCGGCCACCGCCCAGCTGGGGCGGGAGGGCTGCCTGGCCACAGAGGAGCCTTGTGCCAAGGGCTGACACTGGGGAGCACGACAGTGTGCAAAGCGCAGTCTCCGCTTCTCCTCCCACTCCCTGCGACCTTCACTACCACATCTTCCTTGCCCGGATGGCCTCGCCCCAGCTCTGTCAACACACAGCGAAACCTGCTGCAAAAAGCACTGGAAAAGGGGGGAAGCCAGGAGGGAAAGAGGCCTGATCCTGCGGCAGAGGCTGCAGATCTTGGTGGGCCGAGGAAGCCGCTGCAGCTGCAGCCGGTGCCGGTAGCAACACGCCCGGTCGGAGCTCACGTCCCGTCCCTCGTGCATTCCTTGTGACGCACCCTGGATCGCCCCGTCCCCTCCAGGCTCCGCAGCGTTGATCTGACACACGTGCCTCGTCTGCACGTGGCAGCAGGATCCTCCTGGAGAAGGAGCCGGAGGCCTCTTGGGGCCGGGCACTCTCTCAAGGATGGTCTCCCTGCCTCGGAGCTGGTATCTGCTGCTACCGGTGCCAGGGATGGTCTGGAGGGAGCAAAGCATCCCCACAGCAAGGCAAAGTGATAGGAAGGGACAGGGAACCGCGGGCACCCTGCCTTCAGCTCTGCCTGCTCCGCTCTGTGCCGGCAGAGAGGGGCTGGAGGGCACCAGGGTGGGAATGGGAATGGCTGCACAAGGGAGAAACCGGAGCTGAGACCCCGAAGGAACACGGTCGGGGCCGTACAGCCCCGGTCTGGCGATGCTGCAAGCGGGATACGGTGCCGGCCCAGCTCCCTCCCGGAGCTGCCTCAGGCACAATGCTGCTCTGCACGCGGGGAGAGCCGGAGGAGGAAATCCTGGCTCCTGTCCCCCTCCTCGCCAGGCCTGTGCCTCGTGCAAGCAGCAGGTTTGGCCGGACTCCGCTGCAAACATCCATCTCTGCCTGCACGGCACTGCCCTGACTTGCCTTCTCCCTGCGCAGCAGCGGGTCCTGCGGCAGGAGGCAGGGAACAGGCAGCGCAGCTCCCTGCCCGCCCCTTCCACCACCACTGACTCACCGGAGAAAAATGGGGAGGAGGGGGGAGCTGGAAGGCAGGAGGGAAGGGGCTGCGAGGTCCCCAGGGGAGGAAGGGGAGGAGAACCTGCCTGCGTGTGTCGTCCTGCTCGGTGGGATGGAGACCTCGCCTCCCTTCTCCCAGCAGCCGGGACGATGCAGAAGGCAGCAAGAAGGCAGCGAGAATACCCCCTGCCCCATGGGGTCGATGCTCTCCTACCACTTTGGGGCTCCTGCCCACCACACTGCTCCCAGGCATTGGCCAGCACCATCCAGGCGTGCACCCAGGCTTGGGGACCACTCTGCTCCCCAAGCTGGAGAGGGGGCAAAGCGGCAGTTGCCTGCGGATGCCGTAAGCGTGGATAATGCCAACGGGGTGCACCATGAACCCCAGCCCCGAGAGCCCCAGGGAGCAGCCAGCACGTGGATGCCGCCATGGCTGCGAGCGCCCCGTGTTCTGCTCCAGCATCCAGCCCCTCTGCCCCCTCTGAATCGGCCTCTCCCGTTGCAGCACGGCCAGCCAGTTCCCCAGCTGGCAGGGTGGCACAGGCAGCCCTGTCAGCATCTCCCTGTCGGGAGCGACGCCACCTCTTTACGAGCCTGAGCCCATCCATCTTTCCCCTGGGCCCATCACCTCCCTTCGGGCAGCTCCATGGCCCCGGCTGGCACCTGGCACCCACCTGTGCCACCCTGCCCTGCCTCTGCTCCCTGATACTCAGCTGGCGAGGGAGGCCGGGGGGCCGGGGCCGTGGCCCTGCTGGAGGCAACCAGCCCGGCCACCCTCACTCCCCGAGCCCTTGTTGTCTCTGCACAGGATTCATGCCCTGGGACATGCTGCGGGACCGTGCTCTCTCCAGGCAGGATAAGAGCACAATAATATTTACTGTGGCTCCGGTCATGCAGCCCCCCGCCGCCAGCTCAGGGGCTGCAGCCTGCCCTTGGCCTCACTTGGGGGCTGCTGCTTCGGCCAGGAAAACATCTCCGCAAAGCAAATAAACACGACCCGATCTGCACTGCTGGCTCGACTCTCAAACACGATCCCACGCAGAGGCAGGAATAATATTAATTTCAAATGGGAAAACAAACTTGGGTCGGTTTCTTCCACTAAATCATAGTGCAGAAAACTGTCCTGCATCGCCCCGGCGAGCCAACGGGCCACGGCAAAGGAGCCAGCACAGGGTGAAACCCCGCTCAGAGGAGAACCATCGCCCAGCCTGCCCGGCCGGCTGCCTCCAGCCGCGGCTGCTGCCC